TGCAGGAAGCTGTTGCCGTGGTTGGCTACCCTCAGGGTACGAGTTTGACACTGATATTACTTTTACAGTACTCCCTCTGTTTCTTTTTACTCCGCATATAAGATTTGTCTGAAGTCAAACTATGCAAAGTTTGACCAAATTTTATATGCAGACTAAAAAGAAACGGAGGGAGTACTCGATTGTTAGTTGTCAAACTTGTTAGCCATATTACCTCATCTACAAGTATGCAACTAAGGTTTTGCATACGTCATACCATGACCATCCTGTTTGTGATGGCATAACTGAAACTGGCTAGCAGTGTTTTACTTTGAATGAGTGAATGAAAATAATATAATTACACACACAGAGACTATGGTACAACTCCATAAAGCATAGTTTATACAAGATTGTGGATAAGTAAAACATTCATAAATTTGGGATTTCTACACTTCTGCAATTATCATAATATTTGTTACACTATTAGCTTGACAATCAATCACGAAAGCAACAGTAGAAAGTAGCCCCTGCAACTTTGGTGTCGCAAATATGCTTCCTAATTTCTTAGTACATCATACAAATCAACAAACTACATGACACTAAAATGTTATCACAGAATTATAGTATCACTGTGTGTCCTTCTGTTGAACCATGCCATGCCAACCTATGCATGTATTTTTATCATTGTTTGTGTGATGGTTTCCATATGAATTAGCAGTTTAACATGAACGGTGCGCTATTAGCAAGGTTGGCAATCTTAAGGGCACTGGTTGGTATACTAAGGTTACCCCACTTTTCCCAGAACAAGTTAGGCTGAGTTACCCCCCTCCCCCTCCCCCGCGGGTTTGGTTTGCAGCCTCACTTCTGGCAATATTCTAGTCCCCACCCGTCACTGACTCAGCAAAGTGTGGCGCAAAATTTGATTGCCTGACCTTAGTCATGTATGGCAAAAAAACGTGGCAAATGTTGACAAGCTTAGTGTATGAACCAAACAGACCCCAAGTCTTATGACTCTAACCATTTATTTAGCGTGCTGACTGTGTGCTAGGCGAGATCTTAATATGGTAGAATCTTAATATTGTTATGATGTTAAAATCTAAAACAAAGTAGGATGATAACTGTGATTTGTGCATGATCCTACCAATTCAATTGGTCCTAATAATTAATGATAAGTAATTACTTGCATATGTCCTTTTTAATTGTAAAGTTACCCTTGTCATAAAAAAATAGACGTTTGATTTAGACTCTATTTAAAATGAAGGCTCTTAATGTACAACTAAAATATATATAGCTGTTGAAATACCTGGTAGATTTTAGAAAATATACCTTTGTTTAAGAATCAGGTAGGGTCTTAGATTCTACTATGTGATCCCAGGTGCAATGTTGTTGGGAAATCTCTGATTTGATTTAAGGTACCACTACCACGGCTTCGATGCTGTATTGCTGATTGTCTATGTAGACACCTAAAACCATGTAAGAATGTAGACAACTAAATTATTCTGTACATGTATGTATGGCGCAGGTGGAGACAATATCTCTGTCACCAAGGGGGTTGTTTCTAGAGTGGAGCCAACACAGTATGCCCATGGTGCGACTCAGCTCATGGCTATACAAATAGATGCAGCTATTAATCCAGGCAATAGTGGAGGGCCTGCAATCATGGGTGATAAAGTGGCTGGAGTTGCTTTCCAAAATCTGTCAGGAGCAGAAAACATTGGGTGAATACTCCACTATTTAGGTCTTGAGCCAATTGAACCTTTGTTTTACCTGGAATTTTGTGCGTAACCCTTTTCTTTGCAGGTATATTATACCTGTGCCTGTAATTAAGCGTTTTATTTCTGGTGTGGAAGAGAGTGGCAAATATTCTGGGTTTTGTTCTCTTGGGATATCTTGCCAGGCCACTGAGAACATCCAAATAAGAGAGTGCTTTGGTATGCGGCCTGAAATGACTGGAGTGTTGGTCAGTAGAATAAATCCTCTGTCTGATGCTTACAAAATTTTGAGGAAAGACGATATCCTTCTCGAGTTTGACGGCGTGCCTATTGCGAATGATGGGACAGGTGAGCTATGCTTTGCAGCCATTTTGTGTCGCAAATTTTGATTTCTTATATGTTTTCTGTTTATCATGTTATTTTAAGACCATCATTTGGCATACTCTGCTGCACGTTTTTGCATTGCTGATCGATGAATCTATTCATGCGCTACTCCGAAATATGAAGCATCCTGGCATTTCAGCGTCAGCAACTGATGATCATGATCTCTTTTAATACTTGCAGTTCCATTTCGAAATAGAGAGAGAATCACCTTTGATCATCTTGTGTCCATGAAGAAGCCTGAAGAAACAGCTGTTATCAAAGTACTAAGAGATGGCAAAGAGCATGAATTGAATGTGACACTTAGACCTGTAAGGCTTTGCAATCTTACTTGTACATTTTATTCGAGCTTCTTATTAACCAGGGTGCATTTTATTTGGGAGGTTGGTACTAAATATAAGAATGATGGGATGTTGTTCTCCCTGTTTAGTGTTTGTTAGTAGTACTTAGTTTCCTCAGAGTCGAACATGGTGATTGAATCCACCTTGACTGAACTGAACCGAACCCTAATACATACCCATGAAAGTAACATCCATCTCAATACTTATCACCTATTTTAAACTCATCCCACAACTATGACGTCCGTAACACATCGAATTCACTACATTAGCCCAGTGGGTTCAGCCTGTCTACCTTTTCTACAGCTAGTTGGATAGGACTGGGTATGGTCAGATTTATGGACAGCCCCGCTCATCTCTTATGCAGGTTAAACAGTAATCTGCAAAAGTGGGTCCGTTGGTTTTGTACACACGAACCCCCAGGCTTAGGCTTTGCATTTATCATTTCTGTTGGTTCCTGTCACCTTTTTTGCCCTCGTGCTTCTCCTTTTGAGTTTTCACATGCACAGTGAAGTGATCTTATACATGTGATTCTTCTTATGCAGTTGCAACCTTTGGTTCCTGTACATCAATTCGATAAACTGCCCAGCTACTACATCTTTGCTGGTTTTGTTTTTATCCCGCTGACCCAGCCTTATCTCCATGAATTTGGGGAGGACTGGTACAACGCTTCGCCACGCCGACTGTGTGAACGGGCACTGAGAGAGCTTCCGAAGAAGGCTGGCCAACAGTTAGTAATATTATCTCAGGTACTACTGCACTAATTCAATCTCCTCATGCCTCAGTTTCCAGTTGCATGATCTTGTTAGGAAACCTCTTGCATTCACTTACCGTGTATTTTTGCATAATTATCTTTTTACGATCAATCTTTTCTTTTGAGGTGTTTTACTGATCAATCTGCGTTGCAGGTCCTAATGGATGATATTAATGTTGGTTATGAAAGGCTGGCTGAACTCCAGGTCTTCTTCGATAAGAAAATCCTATTATTACACACCACATCCTTAGTGACCTTTGTAGTTTTCTCAACTGACCAGGCTTCATGATATGATCAGGTAAAGAAGGTGAATGGTGTTGAGGTTGAGAATTTGAAGCATTTGTGCAGTATCGTGGAGAACTGCACTGAAGAAAACTTGAGAATTGATTTGGACGATGAGCGGGTGATCGTCCTGAAATTTCAGAACGCGAGGCTTGCCACGTCTCGGATCCTCAAGCGGCACAGGATTCCATCAGCCATGTCGAGTGACCTTGTCGATGAACAAGCGAGCAAAGGTGAGACTGAGGCGTCATGCACAAACTGACACATTTTCGTAGGCGTAGCTACACAGTTTCTGTGGAAGCACCGATGTTAGCTCGGTCTTTCTAGAGACAAATGAGGTAGGCCGAGGACTGCTGGAGTCACCCATGAGCCCATCGGTTGCGGCGGGCTCCAGTTTGGCTGATTTAGTTTTGACAGAAGGAAGAGGAGGTCTTCAGCAAATAAGAAGAACCCAAGTTCTTCACCCTGAGTTGTAACACCATCATTCTTTGCTCCCCTCCCGACTATTTATCATTCTTTCTTTCGCCAGTGTACGGGTTTTGGCACCCTTATGTTAAATTCAGATTATGTATCATCACGAAAGCAGAACATAGGAGATATGAATTTCAAGAAGCAAGACACTTCGTTCCAAACTGTACAAGTAAAAAAACAGAAGAGGGGCCGAGTTTCGGAAAAAAAGAACTGTACAAGTTCTGCTGACATGTTAATTCTTTGGATGCTGTGGATGAATTTATAGAAAAAAAAATTAGCAGAGAAGGGGAAACCCAAGTGTTTGTTTCTGGCTGCCGGGTAATGCTTCAATTGTTTTTTTAGGGGGGTTTGTTCCATTTTCGTAATGTGTTACAGCTAACGGTATCGGCCTTGGATGACCAAATTGTTTAGGGGGTGTATACGGGTTCACAGTCTCGAATTCCGAATTTGGAATCTCTGCTCTTCCACTGAAGCTTGGTGTTTTTGTTTGGTCATCCAAGGGACACTCCAGTCACACCTGACTGACAATCCCATTCGCAAGGATGGACATCTTCAGGATCTCTGATATAAATGATTTTTTTTCTTGCCATTTTTGTGATAGACAAAAATAATTACAGATCTCCCCCCATAACATTCTGATATATGTAACTAAAACCGCAACAAGAATTATGGAACGGAGGGAGTACGTGAGTTATTTTTCAAACGTCTGAATTGCTCGAAATGCAAATGATTTTTTAGATGAATACAAATGAATTTTTTGGAACCAAGTCAAGTCCCCCCAGGCGAGGGTTAATTGGTTTTTCCGTAAATAAAAGCGTATTGCAGCGGCGTGGGGCCGGCCGCCCCTCTCACGGTTCACTTCAGTTCCGTTCACTCGTCCGCTCACCCAAGCAAATATCTCCCCAAGCATACGTGCCGGAGCAGATTGGGCATCAGAATCATCACTGCCGCGAATCCCGTACCAAATTCAAAGCCAGTTCTCGCGGCATCGGCAGCGAGCCAGCAACCGCCTCCGAACCTCCACCCGAGGAAGAGTAGAAGCAGGCCAGAAGAGAAGGCGCGCGCGCGCAGCGCAGGAGGCTCGGAATGGCGCTCCGCTGCTCCCTGCCCGCGACCTGTTCGACGTTTTGCCTCACACGAGCAGAGCACCCCAGTTCGCGTGCTCTCCCCGCGCGCCTCGTCGTCAGCTTCGGCTCTTGCCCGCGATCCAGGCCGAGCCTGGGACCCGTGCTCGCCGCGCGCCCCTGGGCACTGCGTGCGAGCGACCCCAAGGCCGGGCGGCTGGTGATCGGCGGCGGGCCGCGCAGCGCCGACGCGGACACCGATTCTGACGATGACGACGACGGCCCCGTGCGGATGACGGACCAGGAGCGGAGGACGCTGCGGAGGAAGATACGGGAGATGATGGACCGGATGCCGGAGACGCAGGAGCTGACCGACCCGGAGGAGAAGAAGGCCAAGATGAGGGAGCTGCTGACCAAGTACCAGCTGGTTGTCGAGGAGGAGGACCCGGAGTGGCCTGAGGACGCCCAGGACGGCATGGGCTTCGGCCTCGACCAGTTCTTCGACAAGATCACCATCAAGCCTGAGAAGAGGGATGACGCCGACGACGATGATGCGGTGGATGACGGCAAGAAGGAGGTGGTCTGGGAGGATGACAACTACATCAAGCCGGTCAGGGATGTCAGGACAAAGGATTGGGATGACACCGTGTTCACGGACTTCGGCCCGTTGATTGTGCTCGTGCATAACCGGTACAAGAGGTATGGTTCCGTCAGTTCTTGCAAAATGGTTGGTGCCATTTCATGTTTCAAGTATCCTTTTCATATATGCTACTCCTACATCTGAATGTTTCTGTCAATTCTTGCAAAATTGTTGATGCCATTTCATGTTCCAAGTATCCTTTTGGCCATATAGTAGCTTCATATGAAACTTGTGTTGGGCGTAATAAACCGCGGCGTCGCTCCTGGCGCGGCTGGTGCGTGTATGGGCGCGCACCGGACGTGTCGGGCGCGTCGGGTCCGCGATGTGTGGGTGCGTAGGTGTGCGTGTGTGCGTGCGTGAGCCAGCGCGTGTGTGCGCGGGGCCACGCCGGGCTGTTAGCGAGCGATCAGGAGGGGTAGATCGCGTCGGGCGCGCTGGGAGGCCGTGGCGATCGCGTTCGGGCGCGGTGCATGGACGCGGCCAGAGCGCGGAGGACGTGGGGGAGTGGGTGAGCGAGTGGGTGCAGGGCGAGGCCGTGCCGGCCGGTGCTCGCGGGTATAAAACCCTGGTTCCCCTCTGTAGCTAGTAGACATGATCGAGTTCGTGCTTGAGGAAAGGAAAAAGCGTACGTGCGCTGGAAAAATTCCCGTGTCCACTGTTCTCTGAACTTCTCTGAATCCCTTCTTCTTCGGTGAGCTCGAGCGACGGCGACAGAGAGAGCGAGGAGGAGCGCCGCGAGGGACTGGCGGTTCCAACAATTGGCATCAGAGCCAGTTTCAGCTCAGGGCGCGCCGGCGACGTCGATCGTCCCGTACGCCGGCGGAGCGGGCGGATCGCTACCGCAGTCAGTGCCACTGCTCACCGGCGACAACTACACGGCGTGGTCGATCAAGGTCGAGGCGAATCTCGACGCGGCCGGGCTGTGGGAGGCGGTGGTCGTGCCGGAGGACGCGGCGGCGGCCGTGATCGCGAAAAAGGACAAGCCGGCACGGGCGTATCTGCTTGGCGCGCTCGCAGAGGACCTGCTGCTGCAGGTGGCGGCGAAGAGGACTGCCGCGGAGGTGTGGGCTGCTCTGAAGGCGCGGTTCGTTGGCGCGGACCGCGTGCGGGCGGCGCGGCTGGGCACCTTGCGCGTGGAGTTCGAGCTCCTGCGCATGGCGAGCGGCGACACGCTGGACGAGTTCGCCGGCAAGCTCGGTGGCATGGCGGCTCGCTACGCGGCGCTCGGCTTGACGCTGGAGGACGCCGCGTTGGTGAAGAAGCTGCTCGACTCCGTGCCGGACCGCTTGTACGCGGCGGTGGCCGGGATCGAGCAGTTTTGCGACGTGTCGACAATGCCGTTCGAGGAAGCACTCGGGCGGCTGAAGGCGTTCGACGAACGGCTCCGATGGCGTGGACAGGCAGGCGGCGAGCGGGCGGACGGTGAGCAGCTCATGCTCAGCGCGGCACAGTTGCGGGCGCGCGAGCGGCGCCGGGGCGGTGCACGCGGAGAGGACGACGACGACGGCGCGGCCAGCACAGCATCAGGCGGAGGGAACAACCGTCGCGGGAAGTGCTACAAGTGCGGCAAGCGGGGTCACTTCAAGCGTGACTGCCCGCAGTGGAAGAAGGCGCCGGCGCCGGAGCGTGCACTGCTGGTCGACGGCGACGTCGAGGACGGCGGGCTGCTCTGAGCCGCGGCTTAGGGCGCGAGTGTTGGGCGTAATAAACCGCGGCGTCGCTCCTGGCGCGGCTGGTGCGTGTATGGGCGCGCACCGGACGTGTCGGGCGCGTCGGGTCCGCGATGTGTGGGTGCGTAGGTGTGCGTGTGTGCGTGCGTGAGCCAGCGCATGTGTGCGCGGGGCCACGCCGGGCTGTTAGCGAGCGATCAGGAGGGGTAGATCGCGTCGGGCGCGCTGGGAGGCCGTGGCGATCGCGTTCGGGCGCGGTGCGTGGACGCGGCCAGAGCGCGGAGGACGTGGGGGAGTGGGTGAGCGAGTGGGTGCAGGGCGAGGCCGTGCAGGCCGGTGCTCGCGGGTATAAAACCCTGGTTCCCCTCTGTAGCTAGTAGACATGATCGAGTTCGTGCTCGAGGAAAGGAAAAAGCGTACGTGCGCTGGAAAAATTCCCGTGTCCACTGTCTTCTCTGAATCCCTTCTTCTTCGGTGAGCTCGAGCAACGGCGACAGAGAGAGCGAGGAGGAGCGCCGCGAGGGACTGGCGGTTCCAACAACTTGCAGGGCGTGCTGTATTACTTTGGTAAATCACGATAAATGTTCCTTGTTGCAGACCACAGGACAATGAGATGGCAAGAACTGAGCTCGTAAAGGCCATCGAGACGTTTTGGGAACACGATCTGCCTTCACCAAGAGTAGTACATACTTCTTCATGGCATTCTTCTGTAAATATAAATCCGCCGCAGTCGGCGCTTCAGAGTCACATTCTGAACTTCCAACTGTTCTTGGTCACCCGCAGTGTGTTGCAGTCGACGCCTGCGCGGAGCCAGACCTCGTGGCCGCTCTGAAGGTGTCCGGTTTCCCTGAGTTGCTCTTCACCAATGCAGGGAAGATACTGCACCGAGAGAAAGGTATGCCTTGTGGACGCGGAGTTTCTGCACCCGAGCTCAAATGAGCTCGGGTGAACAGTAAAATCAAAACTAAATCAATTTTTTTTTAAAAATAATCCAATTTTTTTTGGGAGAAACATTGACAAAAGTTCTAAGTGCTTGCAAAAATTCACCATGAAATCACATTTTTAGAAGGCGTGGCAAAAAAACAAAATCAGTACTCTGAAAAAGCTACTTTCAAAAGCATTTTGGAGCACTGAATTTGTTTTTTTTGCCACGCTTTACAGGAATGTGATTTCATGATGAATTTTTGCAAGCACTTAGAACTTTTGTCAATGTTTCTCCCAAAAATAATTGGAATTTTTTGATTTTTTTTTTGATTTTACTGTTCACCGAGCTCAAATGAGCTCGGGAGCAGAAAGGCACTTTCGATGCCTTGTCCGTTATTTACACAAATTCTCCTTCAAGACAGCTCTCATTCGGTCATCAGGTTTACTGATCCAAGATCACTTGTTCTAATAGCTGTCCGGTCGGCCGAGGTGCTGGCGAGGATGATAGCCTTCTTCTACTACAAGGCGGTGAGACCACCTTGCTTGAGCGAATCAGACGGCCAGGGGCAAGAGAAGGTCCCTCTGATGTCGTGAAAGGAAGGGTGGTTCGTGCTGGTACTAGTATTTTGCATCAGTGTAACTTTGGATTACATAGTAGTACTATACATCAGGAGTAGAGTTACTGCTACAAGGAACCTTAATTCTCACGTGTGACAATGCCTAACAGTTTGTGTATGATTCTGTTCCTCATGCTGGATAGCCATGTGACCACATCCCTCCTTGTGTTCAGCATGTAAGATTACCCTTAAGATTCAGCAACGTTCTTCCGCTCCCTTCCGGCGCAAATTTCTTCTAGAGCACAGCCCAAACATGCAAAAGTCATTTATGAGGAATGCTCTTTCATTTGTCGTAATTTTATTTCTGTTAGCTTTCGTCATCACCCTAGGGAAGCCAATATGACGGCAAATTTGTTAGCTACGAAGTTGGAGCCCTCGAGAACTCTTGTTTGGCAGAACGAGGCCTTTTGCTCTTTATTCGATGTATTATCAAACGATGTAGCCCTATTTTCACATAAAATATAAACTACCATGATAGCATTTCCCTAAAAAAACATGCAAAGCCATTTCAAAAAAAAATAATTAGGGTGCAAACCATGACAATTTGTTTTTTTAGAAAACCATTTAAATTTGGCTGGCACTGTGCGAATAAATCATAACCGGGCCGGGTTCTCCTCGGGCCCAGAGCGAAACACGGGCCGCCGCACGAGCCCAAGAGCCCGAAGAAAATTTCTCGCGAGAAGAGTAGTAACTCTACGAAATCACTAATTAAGGAGTACTCGTTGCAAAGAACACTTCACTTTCCCAGATCGCGACAAGTGGTGCACACATGCAGCGCGCCACTTGTGGCAAACTGGGAGTTTTTCCTTTTTTCATAGATCCGTTTATTCAAACCGTTTTATCTCTTAAACTGTGCGTCCAAATCTCGAACCGTTTTCACCATTGGATTTCTCGCGCCGAGATCTTCAAAACTAGATCCCATGTTGATAGGTTTTGACGATCTTTTTTTCACGAAAAAAACGGACAAAAAAACCGGGCGAAAAAACCGAACCGGGAGCACGGTTTTTTTCCCTTTCCGAAAGAGGCACGCCCGTACCTCTCGCGAAATCACAACCGTGTCTCTCGTGGAAGCAAAACCGTGACTCTCGTGGAAAAAAAAATTAGAAAACGTGTTATTTTTTTTCCGTTTTCGAGAGGCACGACCGTGACTCTCGCGAAAGCACAACCGTGCCTCTCGCGAAAGCAAAACCGTGACTCTCGTGAAAGAAAAAAACAGAAAACACATATTTTTTTCCCTTTCCGAGAGGCACGGCCGTGACTTTCGCGTAAACACAACCATGCCTTTCGCGTAAGCAAAACCGTGACTCTCACGAAAGAAAAAAAAACAGAAAACGCGTTTTGTTTTTCCCTTTCCGAGAGGCACGGCCGTGACTCTCACAAAAGCACAACCGTGCCTCTCGCGGAAGAAAAACCGTGACTCTCGCAAAAGCACAACCGTACCTCTCGTGAAAGAAAAACCGTGACTCTCGCAAAAGAAAAAAAAACAGAAAACATGTTTTTTTCCGTTTTCGAAAGGCACGGCCATGACTCTCGATAAAGCATAACCGTGCCTCTCGCGGAAGAAAAACCATGACTTTTGTGAAAGGAAAAAAAAGAAAACGCGTTTTTTCACGGAAAATTTATTTTTTCGAATTTTTTTATCGAAAAGCTAAGAAAGACCGGGGGAAAACCAAAACGTCGAAAAAACTCAAAAAAAAATCGTTTAAAAAGCCGAAAATGCGTGTGGAAAAAAAAATTCAAAGGAAACATTCAGAGCGCGACACCTGACGAATGGCTGAGAGCACGGCAAATGACTCTGATCATAAGCGCTCGTTAACTAGTTGCTCAAAAAAAAGAAAAGCAACTCTACGGAAACGGTCCCCATCCTCTCGCGATTTTCTGTTCCTCTTTCGCGCGACGGCGCGAGGCAAATCTCCCCCAGGCGTTCCCGGAGCCGGAGCCGCGGCGAGAAGCGCGCGTCCCCAGGCCTTCGCTCTCCACGCCGGCGAGACAAATAGAGAGCAGTGACGAAGGGGCAGGACCCGGCGGGCGCCTCGTCTCCCGGCGATCGGCGCGGCCGGCCGCCACGATGGATTCGGCTCGCCCCCGGAGGGTTCCCAACAAATCCCGCCGCCCAGACTGGAGAGAGGAGGTTCGTTCCCTTCACAGCTCATCTCGCCGGAGGTGCAGCTAGTTCTATGTTGTTACGCAGCACGCAGCAGGCCGGAGTCTGAAGCGTGATGCTACTGTTGGATTGCTGGGCAACGGGTGCTGCCGGCATGCGCGCAAGGTGTTCGGTTAATTGCCTAGAACCGCCAATAGGGTGTCAGCTGTGTCGTGAAGTCAAGCATTTCTCTGCTATTTTATTAGGAACCATGAATTTTTAGAGTAGGTTTTGGACTGAACTGCCTCTAGGGTGCCATCTGCACCAAAGGTTTCAGTGAACTGCCCTCGCATTGCCTGTCAGTGCTGCATGCAATCTAATAACTGTTATGTGCCTTCATCTCGTATTACTCATAATTTGTCCTTATCCCCTGTTGTCTTTATCCACAGCTTAGGGCAAATTGCATGACAAGAGTTAAAAATGAGAGAGTTCACTTGCTCTGGAAGATGAGGAACCAAGGGCAGCCGCCTGCTAATGACATGGTAGTATGGTGCATTCTCCTTTATAATATCTTGTGGAGCTCGATGCAGCTTATTTTCCTCTTGTAAATAAAGGCTATGAGCTAGGCTCCTTTACATGTTTTTTAGTTACCACTTGCCAGCGCAAGATATTGGTATAAGTAACGATTTTGAAAAGGAAAACCGAACTCAAGGTTGATCGGTGTGCAGTATGATACCATTCCCAAACACTTGCAGTGTGTTTCAACCGGCACCCCGCAGTTTAACCATAGATTTGACTAGTTGGTGATATTAAACTTTGTGAAGTGATTCTGTTGTTAGAAATTTTTATAGCTCTTGTTTTTTCCCAGTCTTGTTCATATTTGCAATACTGAACTGTTGTAGTTGAAATATGATGCAGTAACTTCACTGTAAGGGCATAGAATAAATGTAAAGTACTCCAGGATCATGCGGTGAAGTATTGTTCCTGATTGCCCACTACATCTCTAATTATTGATAACCCATTCCGGTTCCATTCGTTATCATTATTTCCACAACGTTTTTTTGTTCAAACATATACACATACTGAAAGTTGGCCACGGTAACAAAACTGAATACACCATTACTACCCCAATTGATTAATATTTCTTCATTTTCCTTCTTTTATATGCATGTCTGATTTCTAATTTATCCATAAATATGTTGGCTGACAGAAAACGGTCGAATCTGCAGTCAGGAACATTATCTCAGATGAGGTACAGAAACTCAAAAGGAATGTGAATGGAAAAGAGGACCAAGAAGTTGATATGATATGGGAATATGAAGGGCCGCAAGAAGCTATGCCTGCTGAATTTGAAAGTGAAGATATGTTGCTTGAAATGGAAAGAGTTCTTTATGAAGATCTGCGGGAAGAAATGATTCGAAAAGGTAGTTTTGTGTGTATCTTGTGCTGTTTCCTGTTGAAGTGCTGTAACAGCTTAAGTACCGGCCATCAATCTGCTTTCTTATCTCTCTCTGGAACTTTTAGCTAAAAAAACCTAATCAACTGTTTGTCGCATCCCTCTGCCTATATCTTAGCAACCTTAGTGACAACGCATGCAATTTCATAGGCATGGCTACCAAACGTTTTTGAATCTTCTAATCTGAATTTTCTTTATATTATTTTAAAATCCTAACAGTGTCTTTTATTAGAAATAGAGGCTCTTGATGAGGAAGATGCATACTTAGCTCAGGCTGTTTTCGAACATATGCAATTAAAGGACGAGGTATGGGTTTATTCAACATTTAGTTCATCAATTTGCTTTGAAAAGTTTTCTTAAGCATTTTTTTTGTATTCTTACATGATTTCTTTCTATGCATAATTTATCTTTGTTCATGTCATTATTTGTCGTTGAATCTTGAATGGCATGGTTGAATTAAGCCATTTCCTTTTTGCCCCTTTAATTCTGTTTATCTGAGTGGGCAGAACTGCCCAATTTTCACAATTACTATTATGGCAAACTTGTAGGAAAGATGTCCTAGTAAATGGTTCAGGTTTGGATACCCAAAAAATGGGCTCATACCTGCATCGCACAATGAACTGTTCTCATGTCAGCATGACATAACCAAAGTCATGCAGTTGCATGCATTCGTTGTAGCTACATCAATAGGGTGGCTGTAATGCAACATACAGTAATAAAGTTATGAATATACCTAAGCATTTTAGTGGCTTGATAAGTAGTAGGTACAGTGAGTAAATGCGGCTAGTTTATCTATGCTATCTACTGGAGCAGTTTGTCAATGTACTGCTACTCTTGTTGCTACTTGATTCAAGCATAATTCACATCTCACAGAAACTAATGATAACTTGCAATAAAAGCGTGAACCTGAAATAGTACTGAGCTATTCTAAATCGATTGTGTTGTGTTGATTACAGATGCAGCACATCTTACTATGTCAATTAAAATTTCCTACTATACTGTTCCTTAATGCCTTTTTTCGCCTACTCTTTTTTGCAAAGACTTATGTCATGTTATAATCTATGACTCTATGACAGGGTGTGGAAAATGCTAAGCTCTGGTGTCCAGTATGCAAACAAGGAGAGCTACGAGAAACTCATAATCTCATACACTGTACTTTGTGTAAGATACGGATTGACCTTGAAGAAGATAAGGTACTTTCCATTTGCAACTTTGCAGGTTTTCCTGGTATATTGAGTATGAAACCATCTTATTGAACTTGATAACTTCAATCTCTTTAATCAGGTAAACCTAGATTTCTTGCGGGAACGGTTGGCTAATGTCCATATGGAGCACTTGGACAGAGGATGCACATTGTCACCCAAGTTCTGCTTGCATGACATGTTTGGGTTGAATGCGCTTTACATCCGTTGCGATGAATGCAGCACTTTCGAAGTTGTGGTGTAAGTATTGCAATAAGGCTGATGATGACCATATGATCAACATATGAAGGTTTTGGCAGTTTTCCTGAAGTTACTTGTCAGAAACTTGTTGGAAAAAGGCCCACATGTACCCATTGTAATATGCTGAGGTGGCCAAACAGTAAAGGTTCCATACAAATGTAATCGCACGTCTGCCTACCTTTCTAGAATTTCTGCTGTGTACAGTGCAGTGTAATTAGCCAGTTAATCTTGCTCAACATTTCGTTGCCAGCTTACACGACACTATCAGTGCATTGACCAGCATGAAATGATTTGCTCTTTTTCTGTGGACTCTCAGGGTCTGGTCTGTTATCCGAGTTCTTCATTTCAGTCTTCAAGTGGTGACATTTTTCATCTCTGCAGTTGATGCTTATACAATGATAGTGTCATGTCACTGGTAAACTTTGTTGTCTTACTGCATTGCTGCATCAGCCCTGCTGTTTCCTACCAAGCTGCTTGAGAGTGATATTTTATCCAATCTGCTGAATTTTGCAATTCTTCCTTTCTGGCAGCTCGTGCCAAGTGACATAATTTTCTGTTTGTTTTCAAAAGAAGCAGCTGGGGAAGAATGCATGGCATGTTGAAATGCATCTCGTCCAAGGTGTGCCATGATATTTTGCAGGCCTTGCTCAGTGTTTCTTTGGTCTCCCGTCGCAGGAAGAAGTCTGATAATAGCCATTTCATGGTATAGAACACGGAATCCTCGTCCATATAATCAATGGCGTGTGACAGGGTAAAAACTGATTGACCTCCTTTGGTTTGTAGGATAGGAATTTCATGTTAATAGAAAGGCCTAATAGAAAACCATAGAAAATGAGATTGACATGTATCTTGAATCGTATAGAGCAAGATGCCATTTGGCTCGTAGGATGTGATTTATTCACTGGGTCTAAGCTAATATATATTTTTTCCTTTGAAATACAAAGAATTGGTTCCTATTCTATATCGGTATAGGATTCGATTCCTACATACCAAAGAGCCCAAAGGAGAATTTTGTACAAAATTCCTATATTTCACAATTCTTACAATTTTTTTTGCAAACCAAGGGAAGCTTAGTTGATGTAATCTTGTTGGGCATTGCTGTAAGTGCATCTAGTGCCACTCCTAGTTGGTTTTGAAATATTGACGACAAACATGATTGAGGGACTAATGTGTTTGTGAGAATTGCAGGATAACACAGGTAGTAGTCCCTCATTGATTTGGTTTACCTACTAGAGATGACCCCTAAAAATGTATGAAGACATTGAAGACAATAATGGTTCGTGAAGACATTCACTTGAAGATAATGACTTGTGAAGACATTCACTTGAAGACTATGAAGTGCGAAGACATAGTTTCTTTCGTAGTTTCCTTTTCTTCTTTATTGAGTCATAGGAACCACCGTACTATTAAGTGGGGTCCAAGTGAACAAAGTCAGATGACTGAAGTGATGCTCAACCAAAATCCTATGTCTTCAAGTGAAAACAATGAGAGCAAATCTTATCCAAAGTTGGGTGAGTCGGCTTTGCTTGTAGCCCAAGCCAAGCTGCCGCGTGTGTTTGAAATCCGACCGTTGGACACGTGTCGGTTCCTTAATGACCCAGGGTCATTTCGGACATATCATGTCGGGTTGCCTTCTGGCTATAAATAGCCCATCCCCTACACCATAAATTGGTGGCTGCTCAGAGGTAGTGCACGGTTTTTGCCGTTTTAGAGCAACCCACCTCCGAAGTCTTTGAAAGAGAAATCCTTGCGAGGACAAAGCCCGAAACACCCAGAGCCAAAGACTGTTAGGCATCACTGAAGTCTTTCTGTCCACGTGACTCGAAGACTTGTTACACTTGAGGATTGTGCATCCTCCAGCCGGTTAGGCGTCATGTTCTGAAGATCCAAGAGTCATTGTGGATCGCCAGTGAACGGAGTCTGTGAAGGTTTGGAAGTCTACCTTGAAGACTTGCCAGAGTGATTGGGCGAGGATTTGGTGTCCTTAGCTCAAGGGGAATAAGGTGAAGACACAGTCTTCTGAGTTCAATCTCAGCCTCCCTAACTAGACATACAGTTGTCACAACAATTGAAACTGGTCTATCAAATCCTTATCTTCACCAAGCTACTGGTTCTATCCCTTACTTCCTTTACTTTTCAGATTGTCTTCGTGAAGTCATTGTCTGTCTGCCTGATTTGTTTGACTTCACAGTGCAAAGACTATTACCTGTTTGGCTTGATACTGTCTTCCATTCTGATCCATACTACCTAGATGATGTTAGTCTTTGTGTTTTCACTATATTTCTTACTTGACTATGGCTTGTCTAGTGTAGTTCATCTTTCGCTACATATCATATAGGTTCATTCCAAAAGTTTGTCTTCAAAAACCTCGTGTTTTGAAGACTTTCATAAAAATCGCCTATTCACCCCCCTCTAGTCGATAATTAGCACTTTCAATTTGTATCAGAGCAAGGTGTTCCCTTGTTCTGTGTGATTCGGTTTAACCACCTGGAGTTTTGGCTATGTCGACTGCAGGGATAATCAAGGTCTCCCTGTGTGCCCAGTCTTCGATGGCACTGATTACGCCTACTGGAAGAATAGGATGCGGATGCATCTTGAAGCCATTGACATCGACCTCTGGTATGTCGTCGTGACTGGCGTTCCCAAGGTCGGTGAAGGTGTCATCGCTGCTGATGTCAAGAGGTTCGCGCAACTGGACTCGACCGCCAAGAACATCATCTATGGTCATCTGACCAAAGGACAGTATGGCCGTGTGAGTGCTCTGGAAACTACGAAGCTAATCTGGGACTGGCTATCCAAGGTCAATGAAGGCGTCTTAACTCAAAGAGACTCAAGGATTAATGGTCTTCGCAATCTCTTCAGCCGCTTCAAGAGAAACGACAATGAGAATGTCCGACTCATGTTTGATCGCCTCACTGATATTACCAATGAGCTTCGCGCACTCGGCGCCACTGAGACCACCAAGCATGAAATCGTGAAGAAGCTATTGAGATCACTTGACAGCTCATTTGACACTTTGGCCTTGATGATTCAAGAACGTCCTGACTTCAAAGATCTTGATCCGTCTGACATACTTGAGAGGCTCAACACACATGAGTTCCAGCTAACTGAGAAGAGAGATATCTATGGCCCCAACTATGGCCGATCCCGTGCTTTGAAGGCAAAAGCCGTTTCCTCATCTGAAAAAGATTCTGGCTACAGTTCTGGTGATCCTGAAGATATTGGCAAAGAGCTAGCAATGCTTGTGAGAAAGTTCCAAAAGTTCTCCAAGAAGAATCGCTTCGGAAAGTCTTCAAGATCTATCTCAAGAAATGATGAGGCGTCCTCTCGTGACCACAAGAAGAGAACAGGACACAAATGCAAGAAGCCAGGCCATTACATATCTGAGTGTCCTCAATGGGACAAGGAAACTAAGAAGAATAAGAAGAGCAAGGAATATGATTCTGACGACAAGAAGAAGAAGAAATCTTCAAAGTCTTCTTCATAGTCTTCATCAAAATCTTCATCTCACAAGAAGAGCTCATTTGGCAAGGATATGGATTCAGAGGAGGAGTCTGTTTTTGAGGAGGCGGAGGTGGAATCTGAGGAGGAGTCTGATTCAGGTGTGGCAAGCCTGGCTCTACCTTCGGTATTCGTCGCCAAGTCCATCTTCAACACTGAAGACAATGATCACATCACCGATGCTGAAGCCAATGATGAGGACGACTCTGCTCCAACCTACTGCTTCATGGCACGAGGTGCCAAGGTAAACTCACGCGATGCTTACTTTCAAACCTCTAGTGAAGATGACTCTGAATGTGAATCCAAACCTAGCTATAAAACTCTCGCTAAAATTGCAAATGAACAACAAACTGCTATGGAACATATTCAAAAGTTGCTAGACAAAAGCGATGACCTGTTGGACGAGGAAATGAATAGAACTCAGTCCTTAATCGAAGACATTAAAAATCTTCGCATTAAGTACGAGGAACTTGAAAGTCGTCATGAAACTCTCTCAACTACTCATGAGAAGCTTTCCTACGATTATCTTCAAAGGAAGCAAGATCTAGAGAAACTGAGAGCGTATCATGAAGATCTTCAAAAGGAGAAAAATTCACTACTCGCTCAATAGATCAGCTCTCCCCGGGAAGATTTTGTACCACCATGTTTAAAATGTCTCGAGCGTGATAATGTTGTCTCTGTGGCTGAACGTTCTACTATTGCTGATATTGCAATATCTTCAACTACTGATGTGGTAACTAACCCCTCTACTGAGGACACCACTACTATTGCTGATGAGAATGCTAGGTTGAAAACATTTCTTGAAACAGGCATGTACAAAAGCCTCAAAGGGCATCAAAGACTAGGTGATGTCCTCAAGAAACAGATTGTGAACCGAAACCCTAGGAAAGAGGGTGTTGGGTTCGAGAGGAAAATGAATATTGATGGTTCTCACTGGAAGCCTGAGCAGTGCCCCAAAACCACATGGGGTGCTACAAAGGTCCCTTCAGTGGACCCATCCACCTTATCTGGCTTTACTTGTGCTAACCTCATTATCATTGATGAATCCTTTGACGCTAATTATAAGCTGTTTAAGAATTAGAATGGTGAAGTGTTTGCCAGGTTTATTGGTACTAACTGAAGGAATGGGCCACCTCTGAAGAAAATCTGGGTGCCCAAAAGTTGTCTTGAGAAGCTTCCTGTGAATGTCATCATGACACCACCTGGGAAGAAGACAAACCCCAGACTAAAGGCTTCACATGGCCCAAAGGCTTCATACAGACAGAGGACCTCACAAGGTCACCCTAACGCAAATGTTTTGCAGGGAAACCATCATCAGACTCATGAGTATGAGCGTGTTTCTTCTAACCGCTATGTTCACAAATGAAAGAACTTTTCTGCATATTCTTATGAGTATTATTCACCTCCTGCAAGACTATTTGCTAGGGCTCCAAAGCCAAAGTTCTCAGATGCTGCACTTAGACTCATTGCTTCTAAGCCACCCCTGAAAATGTGGGTGGTTAA